ACCAAAAATGACAAAAATATTCACCAAAATTAGAGAATTAAAGATATCATTACAAAAAGAAAAAATCTGAGAGAGGTCCACATGTAGTACCTATATATGTAATATCAAAGCAATTGCACTTGCGGTTTTTAACAAGAAGTCGAAAATATCAGTTTTTACCAAAAATGACAAAAATATTCACCAAAATTAGAGAATTGAAGATATCATCACGAAATTAACAAATCTGAGAGAGGTCCACATGTAGTACCTATATATGTAATATCAAAGCAATTGCACTTGCAGTTTTTAACAAGAAGTCGAAAATATCAGTTTTTACCAAAAATGACAAAAATATTCACCAAAATTAGAGAATTAAAGATATCAACATGAAATGAACAAACCTAAGAGTGGTATACCCAAGGTACATATACACCAAGTATCAAAGCATTTAGGCTTGTAGTTTTCAAGAAGAAGTCGAAAAAGTAAAACATTGACACGGACGACGACGACGACGACGGACAATCACTCATATGATAAGCTCCGCTCGACAAAGTCGACAGCGGAGCTAAAAAGTACTGATTTAAAGCAGACATGACATGATTAAATACATTAATTTACGGTAATGAAGTTAATTCTTCACACAACAAAGGCATCTAAGTTCAGTATGGTTCTAACCAGCTTATTATATTGACCACAGCCTCATTTAATATACAGATTAATATGTATGGATTTCAACACTAAACTGAGTGCATGTGAAGTATTCCAGCCCACCTTGAACCAACTTTCATTTCAATCTGGTAGACGGTTCTTGGGATATTAATTTGCAAAATAAGATGCTACTTACTGTAAAGACCACCTTGCAATTGTCCAACATGTCAAAGTTTGTCGGCAGTCCACTGGCAGGCCATTTCACACAAAAATTCTCACTGTTGAAAGAGGATTGAGAAGGGCATTAGTGTTGCTAGATACAGTGGAAAAGAAACACCTGAGGAGTGGATTGGTTGAATTATTTGAACAGCAACTGAGGTGATGAGGTTAATGCTCAAATTTCACATGTTGGTCAACAAGAGAGATTTGCTGAATATTTTCTCAATGCACACTTTGTCAAGTAAGAAAGACGATGACATAATTCATATATGAATTGGTGTTATGAAGTTCGTAATTTTTACCTGATAAATTTGTTTTCTTTTGGGTCGTACAGACTCAGGAAGACTTCTGCATCTGAACCAACATGGCACACATTATTTTTCAGTGTGACAAAGAAACTATAACTATGCGTGGTTCCTTTAGGCCGCAGTTTTGCTGGATTTGTATCAGACTGAAAAGTAAAGTAACAAGAAATCTTATACATACAGAAAGATACTGTAAAAGACAATTAGTTGTAGATTATAATGACAGAACTGTCTCACGGAATAATGTAGATTCTGACCGTTTCATTTTGTGAAACGAATTTTCATAAAATCGAAAATCAGAGACAAGTAATCTGTCAGTTGATATAGCTCCGCTGTTTCAGATTCATAATGAGAAAGTACATGTGTAATATCAAATCACATGTCCAAAATAACAAGAATATTCACTAAAAATAGAAAATTATTGACACAAAAATGAATTAATGATAAATCTGATAGGGAAACTGAATCAAATCATTCTGACTGTGGTCCATCTAAACAATTGGGAGGCTGGTTTTAAAAAGGTGCAAATATTTTTTTTTTCGCCAAAAATGACAAAAGTTTTAACTTAAATTAGAGAACTAAAGTTATCATAATAAAATCAACAAATCTAAGAGAGGCCCATAAAATAATGAAGCAGTTGAGCAAGTTGTTTTCAAGCACAAGTCAAAAATAACATTTTTTTACTAAACATGAAACAAAATATCCACAAAACTTAGAGAATTGGAGGTATCGTCACAAAATAACAAACAAATATGCAAGAGAAGCACCCAAGGAAACGTTACATTTGGAGTGAGTATGACACCCATACATAACTGATGGTTTTTACAAAGAAGTCTAAAAATGTAAAGTTAATGACAACACCAACGGACAATCAGTAACATGAATACCCAGTAGCTCTGTCCGACTCTGTGACCATGGCGACCTAGTTTTAAAATTCACAGAAAGACACACAGGGCAAAATGAAGTCAGACTTACAGTTTCTTGAAGTATCCTTTCCACTGCTAATTCATGCATCCTGAATACAGCTATGGTACTATGTACAGTGGGGTCTACAATACCACCATCATCATCTCGGATAACAAGGTCAAGACCTAATTTTCTGGAGAAATACAAATAACAGCATGCTTAGTATGTATGATCCCACATAACTATATATTGGGGTACTTGAATAAAAAGATGTGTAATTCTATGGGAAAAGAAAAGTACAGAATAAGTTTTATTTGTATCCATGGTAACAAGTTAGATTCGGAAATGCATATGATACCTGTTACCGTAGTCTATTTTTGATGTGACTCTTTGTATCTGTTCCTTGAATTCTTCTCCTGGCAGTGTGCCCGACATGATTTGTCGCCTCCATGTGATAAGCTCTAACATCATTGTACGGATTAATTCATAATTTTCAGTATTTCCATCCTTGTAAAGAAAGAAACATAAGTAAAGTAGAGCAAAAATTAACGCATACTAATTATATCATTTCACAGGCACATTTTTCTTGCCAAATTACTTAATTAAAGTACAATTTTGCGAAACATGATCAATTTACAAAAACATTCAACCAAAGTATGACACTGCTTATGCATATTTGTTTTTTGGAAACAACCTGAACAGGGACTATTTTGTGGAAGGTTACAAAAGCTGCCAATGGTGGTGAATGGGATAAACCACTGTGGTTGTATTTCAATGGTACCGGTAATTACTGTAAAACATGTTGAAAAAGCGACATACAATTTTGGCGAATTGTGGTAAAATGACGTAACAGCGAAATGTTAATTTAGCGCATCTCTCTTGTCATGCGCAATAATCACCTCCATAAAAACAAAAAAAAACTGTCAAGTGCTCGCGAAAAAAACATGTTTTACAGTAGTTAAGGCTTCCTTTTCAAAAGTGAAAATTACATAGTTTACGATATCTGTATCAGTATCCAACATGTGTTTAATTTAAATTTGTACAATTTGGTCGTACATGATCATTATCTATTACACATAGCTGCCTAGACACACATTATACTACATATCAACCATCAAAGTGAACTTTCACAAATAAATACACTTAAATTTGTTCACATTTTTTCTAAAATTTTGATCGAGCTCAGTTGCTATTGGGAAATTATAATCAATTGATTTTAAAACAATAGAAAAATTGAAGAAAAATATGTAAAAGTATGCAAAATGTTGAACTATCACTTTTGAAAGTAAAAGTATGGTGCTCAAACTAGGCAATTAAAGCATTGGAATCAGATGTGATAATCTTGTGTATTTATTCATCAGTTCATCTATATTCCAGCTCTAAGGAACTTTTTTCATCTTTGAGAGATTAAGTACATCTATATGTGTCACTTGAGACTCACCACGTAACATTGTTTCCATATTGCACCCCATTCTCGTAACACTGTCGTCATTTCTGAGACAATAGGCAGGTCTTTCGGAATAACAGTTTCATGTACATGTCTGTTGAAATAAACCAACATTATATTAGCATATTTCACTATTATGTAGTGCAAAACACATTAATAATGTGTTGCTATGGTGACAAGAGCTCTGTTTTATACCACCTTAGGACTCAAGAATATCTTTCATATTATTCATACCATGCATACCATCCTCATATAGAAAATACAGTATGAAATATAATGTTCATGACCTACCCTTCACTCTCTACTCTAGCATCCTTAAGATGAACATAAGTCTTTGGAAATATGCCCTGCAATGAAAACACCAGAAATATTCAAAAGTAGGTTCTCATCAGAAAGATAAAGTGCCACACGTCCAGCCAGTCTGCTGGTGCATAAGCGACAATAAAATAAATGCGATTAAATAACCGGTATTTACTATATGGGGAGAGACAAATAAAAAGATAAGTTGTGAAATGCATATTTCAGATTCCTACAAATCAGGAAAACAATACCAAACTTTCACAGCCATATGATTCGTTTAGGCAGCAACCGCGAACAAAATTGGGCCGAATTTGTCATTTCTGTGTGGAAAAATCCCTTGCATATGAAAACCTAATTACACAATGAACATAGAGCACTTTCCCTGGGTTTTTGAAACAGATATTGTCATCCAACTCAAGAGCCAATCAGAGACGGCCTTACAGTTAGATGACAATTTTGACAGAAATAGCTTCGCAAATGATATTTGGATTAATAAATTGGCAATGAAATGATGAATGCAAAAATGGTTAAAATCTTATATCTAAAATACATCTGACTTTGATCTGGACTTTTTCTCACCACCATTCAGACAACTTACCTTGACTGATCTGGACTTGACATTGAATCCTCTATACCACTCTAGATAAAAGAAAACATGCCACTTATTAGATTGTAGAATTCGTGATTGGTGTAACTATGGTAAATTCAGAATACTTATATTTTCACACAACATGGAACTGATTTTTGAAAAGAAACATTTATACATTTCAAACATACCATTATTTTCTTCTAATATTTGAACAGCATCACCTACGCATAAACTAAGATAATATTTCTCTTCTTGCTGGAAATTATATATCACTGGAAAATAAAATACAATCAAAGAAAGATTAGAAATAACTGTAGTGCTGAGAGTATTGGAGATATATTAATCTGAAATGAAGCACATTTAAAATTGCTTCAAAATTTCAAAAAAGGTTTTTTACAATTGAGAAACAAGTGAAAATGTATAAATTAGGTAATTAATATGCACAGATTGCAATAATAAACTAATCACATGTGCATGATATCCCAGGCCATCTACGTATCTAGTCTTATTGAAAGTTGTTAGGTAGTTTTAGAGAAAAAAGGGAAAAGTTTAAAATTGGCCAATTAATATGCAAATTAGATTAGTACAGTACTCATTTCGCCGAACCTCCCGCCCGCTTCCGGATTTCGATCGCTTTTTTTTCGCTCGCT